AGAATGGGGTTGCCGAGAGGAAGAATAGGCACATTTTGGAGGTGGCTAGAAGCATTATGTTTACCTCCAATGTGCCTATCTGTTTATGGGGTGATGCTATCCTCATGGCAGTGTATCTCATTAATCGAGTTCCTTCACGGGTTCTTGATATGAAGCCTCCGTTTACCCTTCTATACCCAGACAAGGAGTTGTTTACTGTTCCTCTTAAAACCTTTGGTTGTACCTGTTTTGTTTAACTTCTTGGTCCTCATCATTCCAAATTTGACCCTAAGGCCTCCAAATGCATTTTTCTCGGTTATGCACAAACTCAAAAGGGTTATTGCTGCTATGATCCTGTTTCAGGGAGGAGATTTGTCTCGATGGATGTCACATTCTTTGAGGAGGCACCCTATTATCCTAGGGTTTCTCCTCAGGGGGAGAGTAGTAAGAATTTGGGTCTTTTTCCTTAGGAGGAGCGCAGCAGTGAGAGTGGGGTTCTTTTTCCTCAGGGGGAGCACAGTGAGAGTGGGGTTAACTCATCTGAGGTTGTTCATTTACTCATTCCATTGAGTGATGAAGGCTGTAATGGTGGAGGGTTGTCAGAGGGATCAGGAGTTAAAAGTCTATCACAGGCGATGCAGGCGGGTTGATCTCGGTCATCAGCAGTCCAGGCCAGCTCCAATTCCTTCTGCGGATCCAGATCCAGGTACAACAGTCCTAGGGCCCACTGAGATACCTTCCACTGTTGCTACTTCCCCTCCTTCTTCGGATGACCTTGACCTCCCTATTGCGGTCCGTAAAGGGAAACGGCGTTGCACCACATCCACAACTCACTGCATTTCCCAGTTTTTATCCTATGATCGCTTGTCTCCCTCTTACAGGTCCTATCTCACTTCCATTGCTGATATCCCTATCCCCAGAATAGTTCAAGAAGCCTTATCAGTTCCAGAGTGGAAAGATGCAATGAAAGTTGAAATGGATGCCCTTTTGAAAAATAATACTTGGGAGCTAGTTGACCTACCCAAAGGAAAGAAACCAGTTGGATG